TCTCGACAGCGCGTTGGATAACGCTGACCGCATGCTCGTCCTGCCTGCGCAGAGTCCAAGTCTCTGAGGCGTAGGTTAGGGCAGGAAGGACTGCGGAATCGAAGAGGTGGGCACGGATAACATGAGAAGCAAATCTGACTAGTTGGTTGGCTCACCCACTCCGGGGTACCTCCTCCCTCCATGGCTTAGCCTTCGACTCACCTTCCTGCTTGAGACTTCTGCCGAGCCATGTGCTGTTCTCTAATCGTCTGTGCTCTGGCCTTTCGCGGCCAAGAACATCGGGTAGAGTTCAAGTAGTCACATAATCATGGACAACAACTCAGATGGACTCTCCAAGTCTCATGGCCCTCAAGAGTAACTGTCAAGAAGTTAGCTTCTAATTCTAAACCATCCGTACAAAGATGCTGCACAGTGGCTAAGCCATGAAATGGAGCCTCTGTGCACAATCTGTCTATCAGATAAACCTTTTATAGACCTGATTCATCACAATTTACGACAGCACCTGAGTCGAGAACAGAAACGAGGACATATAAGAAATTCTCTCTCAAAGCAATAGGATAGACCTATTCACCCGTAGGTAAGAGCATTAAGCTGCGGTTAGGGGCATACATATTAGATACTAAAACGAGAACGATTCCTAAAGAAAAGGACCAATAAGAAAGAAACACGGCGTTCGAGAAGAGACTCAACGCGATAGCGAGGAAAGACAGACACATATCATACCGCGAACACAACCTCGCATCATGACGTCACACGTGAACAGAAACAAAGCTACTCATATTCGAATAAATACACGTAAAAGTAACATGTGAAATTGGGCAATCGCGATGGAAAGATAAACACGTTGCACAAAATAAAATAAAAAACGAATTAAAACAGCAGAAAGAGCTTCATAACTTCCGTTTTCTTGTCCTCCGCCTTTTCCTCGGGGCATTCCAGTCCTCATCATCTCCAGATGACGCAGGGACTGGCATTGGACTCTGAAATATGGATACTATTAATTACTTATTATGGATACTACTAACTTACTATTACATTAAGGTCATTTCGAAAAAGTAGAAAGGCGACAAATGAACAAATACGGGTGGCCATGGTCACACACACACACAATCGGCGGTGTAAAAATAACTAAATACTGTGTTTCCAAGATAGCCAACACGTGTCGTAGAAATAAGCTTTTGGGGGCGAAGGGTTGAGCTGAATCCTTTGGGAAACCATCTTTTGGTGGACTCGGTTAATGGTAAGGAGTCGTGAGCAACCCAAAAGATTCACGATCGAACAATGTCCAATGAGTAGCAATGCATACTCGACCCTGAGCGGCAGGCACACAGTCGGCGTAACCCGCTCCTCTCTACCAGTCGGCTCCCAGTCTTCTGACCCACTATCTCCATAACTTTCCGGTTCTTAGAAAATATGAGGACGAGAAAAGAAAGTGGGCGGTGTCCGTGAAGAGGGGGAAACAATGTCAATACAGCAGGAAACGTGACCTGAAATGGCGTAATTTGCGATGAAACTTATAACTTGAGTCCGAGAAGACAGGAGATCGGGAGGAAATTCGGCGTCGAGGTCAGCGACTGAGAAAAGACCAAGTGTCATTGGTTGCTCGGGCGCACTGATGGACGGGGTTGCCCACATTGATTAATGAGTGCATTTGGCTGCTCCGTTCTATATCGCCTGAGCCCCACAAGACGACTGCATCAGCCTGTGCAAGACTATCTTGGCAAAAAAAATTTTCTCCCACCCGGGTCAAGAAGTCAACATTGAACAGTTGGGGAATGGCATAGGCTCCCCCCTACGACCACCTACCCCCTACACTCACATTCGGTGCGGCCTCCAGTGAACGCGCGAGTTAAGGTCCCGCGAACTCTGCACAGCACATTCGCGGGCATCTCGAGTGCGTTTTCAACAGTTCGCGGGTACCTCTCAACTCCAGCTCGACCGCGTTCGCTGCGACCGCGCCCAAACGGTTAGTTATTGTCTGGGAGCCATGGCTATAGTAATAATTCAAAAAGTGAAACTAATTTGGGACAGTGTCTTTTATCGGAGCTCATGATCAGGACTTTAACAAGTACAAGTTCAGCCGAATCTTATCTTCGGTTCGTAAAAGGCTTCCCTGGGAAAGTTATTCTAGACTGGAAATGGCCCTGTTTGTCAACTTTTGCTGCGTCATTGCGCATGAACCATTCGTCAACGTTTCTCACGTGGTCGGGCACGATCTCGCCGTGGTACTGACCCTTGCCGGCCCTCACTTTCTCATCGGGGTCTTCTCGATTCATAAATAGGAGCAAAAGTGTATAAGTGTATTATTTGTTGCCGCAAAAGTGTATATGTATAACTTTTGCTGGAATACATAACGCGCTCAATTCCTTAACCGTACCTGCAAATGCAAATAAATGTTTTCGCGTGCGTGTTCAACGCGCCACCTTTGCCTCGAGTCTCGCTTCCCAGAGTATTTTGTTCCAGGCCAAGTCCTCTTCGGTCCTCGATCAAAAGTAGTACGATTTCAATAGACTGGAAAGTTCCAATGAAAAGTAGGCGAACTAAGAAAAAAATGTTGCGGCCGAGTCTCCCCCCGTCTCTACTGTTTGAGCACCTGCACAGATCCCAAATAGCGATTTGCCTCACTGCTAGATAGCCGTTCACAGCTCTCAACCCTACTGATCGATATCGCGGACAAAAAAATTGACACCATTACATCCCCAAAAATAACAAAATTTTATTTTTCGCCGGAACTTTGCTCATCGGGTAAATCGACGATCTGATTGTGGACAGGACACTTATTTTCACCAAATTCAATTGAAAGCTCTGTAGAGTGGTTATTTGGGGTCCTGATTACGAATATGCCATAGATTTTTAGCGCTGGCGCCATTTGGCGCCTGCGCCCTCTCACTGATTAGATCGCAATAAAGACTAGGCTAGTGGAGATGAGTGAACCACTCACCCTGTGATCTCACACGCTTCATCTTCTGCCACACGGTACCTGGCTTACCAAACACAGAGTCCTCCTACCTACTGAGCTCAGCCTCGAGAGCTCACAAAAACGGGAAAATCTTTAACAGCTCTGATACCAAAAACGAATGTCATATTGGTAATCTGGACATCAAATGACCTCTATACAATAAATTTGGTAAAAACAAGTGTAGAAAGGTGACACCAAGTGGCGCCAATTTGTGTAATCGCTGAAAATGGTCACTCTTGTAAACAGAGTGCCGAATTATCCCTCTGGACAAAGTGTCGACGGAAAATAAAACTTTGAAATTTTGCTGTTGTAATGTTGTTTAGTGCCAAAAAATGAAAAAGATAAACATTACGTACAACGAAGTCGTCATCGTTGAATGAACTTTCAGAAATCAGCTCCTGCTCAGCAATCTTTTTAGCAGCCACCCTGAGAAAAACGATGAGGAAGCCAAATATGAATGAGCGAATACTACGCTGTAACCAATCTCACCGTGAGCTGCTTCTGCTGCCGTCTAACTTCCTACAATTGATTATATGTTTCTCAAACACTTTGGCACCTACCATCCGTCCACAAACACGACACTTTACAGTGATCTGAAAAAAAAGTTGATATAAAGAAAATAAACTCAGAGAAGGCAGACAATTTTTTCCATTTCCCTCCAGGATTCGGAGCAATTTACCAATGCTGCTGTCGCTCGAAGTTGACAACTTAACGATTCGAATATGCAGTCTAATCATGAGGTAAGTAGTGCAGTGCTATCACATTGAGGAATCAAAATGCTTAGCGAGAGATATTTACCAACAGTTCAACCTGTTTTATGTATAGTACAGTCGATATCCGAAAGTTGGGGTGGGTGTGTCACCGGAAGTGACGTGCACTTGATAGAAGTGCGTGGATAAGCTGTTGCCAGCATGCTTTGCTGATAGCCAGCGATGTATGTTGGAAGCAGCTTATCCACATAGTTTCTATCAAGTGCACGTCACTTCCGGTGACACGCCTACCCCAACTCACCGATATCGAGTATACAAGGTAAGGAAGCGTCCATGCGAGCGAAATATTCTGTACAAAAACTCGAGCTGATGAACAAATAATAACCATTGAATCAATAGGGCGATACTAAGGGCCGTATGCTATGCTTCCCCGAAGCTAAGTGATCCAAAGTTTCCTTTAAATTTATTTGTTTTGAACGATATAGTTTCTTCATTTTCAGTGCATGTTTACTTTTACCTACATACATACATTAAATGTAGGTCCTTTATCAGGGCAATCCCAGATGGGAAGACAGAGAAAATTTAAAGGAATTTTCGTCCCCAACCCCTTCGGGGAGGATAGCATACGGCCCCTAACTTGGGGGGGACCACGCGGCGGCGCGGCGCTTTGCTCGCCTGGCGCTCTCTCGAGCGAGATAGTGTGAACTCGAACATTCCAGCTTTTCACGCATGTCAAGTGACTGCCCTCACCCCCCCCTAGACTGCCTACAGTCCCCCTGGCTCACGGATTTCCCGAAGTAATGCAAGATGCGCAGGCGAGTCTAAGGCGCCGTGCCGCCGTGTGGCTCTCTTTCCACTAAGTTAGGCACAATCATATTAGTAACATCAAATAATTATAATATGATAGGTTCCGCTTCTAAAGAAAAAGGGACATTTCTTACTGTCTCGTTAACGATTTAATATGTGTATATATCGTAGAATAACGTAACGTGGTCGTATAGACCTACGCACTTTCGCTGTGTGGAGTAGAGATTTAGAGATGAATAATATTCCCACCCGCCTATCTCCATGTGTCGTTCTGCTCACCTGCACCATAGCGTAGCCCATTGCGCCTACCAGTAGAGCCCGCAGAGGAGTGATCATTTTGTACTCCTACTGACTAGTATAGGGCGCCATTCGTTGCGGGACCCACTGCCTTAACCCGCGGGGATCCCATGTGATCGCGGTTGAATTCGAACATTCCAGCTTCTCACGCATGTCAAGTGTCTGCCCTCACCCCCCACCCCCCTAGACTGGCGACACTGCCCCTGGCTCACGGATTCCCCGCTCCACATTGAAGGGTTCACTGTAGCAGGAGGCAGTGGGACCCGTAACGAATGGCGTCCTTTACTAGTCAGAAGGAGTACAAAACGATGGTTCCACGCGTACACCTTGGGGGAGGGGCCAAGGAGAGGTGTAAGAAGGCAGAATTAGTACGGAAAGATTGAATTTGGATATTAACACGGAGTCACTGTGCGACGTCGCGCTGTACTTATAGCAACACTTACTACTTATTCCACCTTATCCCATCGATACTAGGACATCTCTTAGTTAGCGCCACACGCTTGTGCCCACAACACGATTCCTTGGCCGTCGGAATTTCACAAGTATTGTCCAGCTGACGTCACCATCTCACCACACCTTCCATGACTTCCTGTGATTTCAACGCTCTCTGGGCCATAAAACCGTATTGTGAGATTTGGCCACGCGCACTTTGCCCAACGTGGGCGGAACTCCGCTGGCTGATTTATTATTTCTATACTTGACGCATGATCCACCTGCATTGAACTTAAAAGGCAAGATTCGGGATAAAATAGGTGTGGAAAAGCGTTCAGTTATGAAGCTAGGTGGGAGGTGGTCTGTAAAAGAGAAGGAAAGCAAACGAAACCACCGATTACGCCCCGTACAGAGACCTCCCCTATTTCAGCCGCATTCCACCTTGGGATAGAGAAGAGGCGCGTTGGACGAGTTTCACGAACCTAACTCTAGTTGCTCCAGTGCCAATAACATTGGATCGCGCTGGGACCGCTGCCTCAAATGCGCCCGCGCTTTTCAAGCAGCGCCACGTGGCAACCGACAGCGAAGGGTGGGGCTTGCGGACGAAGGTGTGAGTTGCGGGTTGGACGAGCTCCTTGCGCCTTTGTCGCGTACTTTCAAGCCGCAAAAGGGGCGCGACATCAACACTTGTCCCCCCGCCTACTAACGGCCGATGGAACAGGCAAGTGCACCTAATCCCGGAGCGTGCCTTTAACGCTGTCTCCCCAGGTCTCTTCCAGGTAATACTGAATTTCCATGCACACACAACACACACTACACCGATTTTATACATTAAAAAGGAATATTAGGCACTCTTTTTTCATCCAATTCGACTAGTATTCCAAACTTCGTTCGCAGTCTGTAACTCTTGAGTTTCGTTATGGTTAGGGTTTTGTTATGAAAAAATAAAAGTGCTGAAATTTCTTTTTGGATTGTTGTGCACCCCGCCTTTCGTCAATGTTCTCGTAAGAGAGTGCCTCCTGTGGTTTCAGATGCGATGGGTGCTCTGCAACACAATGCCCAACCTTATGAGCCTGAATTACTTTTAGCACAGATGCCATAGTAGTGCTATTCAAACATCTGCGTTTGAATGCCGCGTAAGTCTCCTTGTGTGAGATCTCACAATCTCACAACTTGTGGTTGGGCTCAAAAAGAATCGCAACACCAAGGCAACTCATATTGTCTTGAGAAATCAAATTTTTGGCACGGTGAAGGAAGCTCCAGGGTGGGTGTAGAAGCGGAAGTGAAATCCATTACCTCACTTTGGGATTTCCTACCTCTGCGAGGAAGGGGATTTCTGTATTGGCAACTGTCGCACCACATGCCCCGGATGACTTGGAGAACAATTCTGAGATTATTTCATTATGCAGATGGTTGAGTAGCACTACTATGGCGTAGTATAACTTCTGCTAAAACTAATTCAGGCCATAAGATTGGGCGCTGTGTCGCTAGTGCACCAATTGCACCTGAAACCACAGAAGGCACTTTCTTATTAAGAACATTTCCGAAAAATTAAATTCATCTTGAATTGATTCACCCAGTCCGGAGTTCGTCTCCAGCAAAATTGAGATTACTGTAAGTGGCACAAACTATTCACCGCAATATCCTGAAATACAAGTTTGCTATGGAGACCGAAACTACTGCAAAAAAAGTTTTAAAAAGGCTGGGTGGTCTTGTCAAGCTCTGCGGACACAACCGAGGTTACCAAAAAAGAACTGAGGTAAAGTCATCGCTCTCAGAGTAAATGGTAAAGACCCCCAAGTGTCGGCTTAGAAGGGAGAGGAAGCCTAGAGAAAGTGAAAACTGCTCACCTAGAAGTCCTTCTCCATCCCAAGGCTTATGGGTAGGGTAGACTTGAGCCCCTAGAGCGTAACTGAGCTTTACAGTAATGCTGAGGCGCTGTTAGACCGCGTTCATAGTTCGCGACTCCGGAGATTAGGATAGTACGCGACAATGAAAAACATATGTATTGACGGGGAGATTAGGATAGTAGTAGAGTAGGTGGCTGAGTACAGGGGTGGCCAAAAAAAAGAGACACTTCACTCAACATTCAAAACGGAATTATTTACGCGTCGCGAAACCAAACCAAATGACCCCAACTGAATATTGAAGAGCACGTTATAATCTATCAACAAGCTACACAACAGCCTTCTACACCGACGACATCAGAAGATTTTCCCACGGAAGCATTGTGCGCGGTACGATCTCAACGAGGTCGTTGAGATACCATAGACGATTACGACGTCTCTGAAACGCTGGTCAAAAGCGGTTTTGCATAGTCACAGCTAATGTCTCTGGGAAGCTATTCAACAATTAATTCACTGAGGAAATTGTGTAGCAGCTTCAGGTCGGAGCGATTTCGGTAAGCCTCGTTGAGCTCGACGGTGACGGCAGATGACGTCATATTCTGGAGACGGCAGGGGCAGTGAAGGAGTGCTTGCTTCTGTTTACGGAGGAACAACTAAGGAATATAACGCCATAAAACTTTCATTAACATCGGCTCCCTGTGTGACGAAAAGTTCGATGATGTGCGCCATGGGCTGAGTGTCTCTTTTTTTTGGCCACCCCTGTATATTAGATACGTATCGATTGAAATCGCTGGAGAGTAGTAGATTGCGATATTACGATAGTAGGATAGTAGTAGAGTAGGAGATTAGGATAGTAGTAGATTAGGATAGTGCGCTGACAAGATTAGATATGTATTGATCTATTCGCTTGAAGTCGCCCAATCTACTACTCTCTCACAGCGGAGAATGGTCATACGAAACGTAATGCCAATCGTTAGTCAGACGCAATCTCACTACTCTACTAACTATGCCAACCTGCATACCTGTACGCCTAACGCTATCACTAATCCTGAGAACGCGAACTGATGAACGCCGCCTACAAGGACACTTCTTCAGAATCAAATAAACTATCCTAATGCTCGAGAAAGTTCGGCTTTGCAGTGAAGTGTCCCAATTCAGAAGATTTGCGCGCGCGCTGCGCGCGGTTGTAAGCGGAATCTTCCCTGGTCCCTTTCATTCTGTTCCGGCACTCCCATCGATATGACAAGCAGTATCACGACTTCCCATCTCATCCAAGTGAGGACTATGAGACAAACTCGGTCAGTGATTGAAGATTGAGGACGAGAAGAAATGTTGCTGTTCACAACGAAGAAACCAGTGGTGTGGTCGGGTTCAAAGAAACTGGATGGGACACAGTAACAAAGCGCAGTGGTGGTTCACACAGCTCCATACTTATTGCACACCAGTTCATTTTTCCCAAACCGAAATGTG